GTGGAGTTTCCTTCTCAAATAGTTTCATTTTTCGAGTCCTTAAAGACAACTCTGCCCTATTTGTCAAAAATGCAGAGATCTTATAAAATCAGAAAGTAAGAAAAACATTTAACATAATTTTGTTGAGCATAAATGTTTTGTTAATCATCTTCTGCCCCCTAGGGGGTTCCTAGTCTGACTCACAGAAACTGGGCGGTGGATATAAAGCTGCCATTGGCTGAATATTTATTGTTTTGCAAGGGCACCATTGCCGCATTCTAGGCTTAGCACCAACCAACACAACTGTGATTGGTTTAAAGAAATACAAACAAGCCAGGGCATCTCCCCCCCCATACCAGAATGATAATGGGGTCAGCCAGACCTTTCTCCAGTGCTGGCATAGCGCTAAAACAAAGTGCGGAGATAAGCCATTACACTTTAAATTAATCTTTAGACAATTTACAGTGCAGAGACGGTAAAATGCTTCTTCCATTCAGATTCCAAACCAAACAAACATATGTGTTTGTACAGCTTCCGCTGTCTATGATGTGTTTCCTACATGTGGTACTTTGTTTATTCAAGTCTGCACAGGTGGTGGAATACTGGAATTGTGGCAGTCAGGTTTTTGAAAGCACCCACTATAATGCTAATATATCTCTTGACCATTTTTAGAATAGAGCACAACTTTATTGTCCGGGCGAAGCCTGAAAAATCACCTTTTTCAAAAAATTTTTTATCTCAACAGAAACATTTAAAACTTCACACATTCACACAGAAGAGTGCAGATTAATGCAGTTTGCTCACTGAATTTATTGCACTAGGAACAACAGATCCCTCATAGATCTTTTTGTTTGCCAGGGGTACTTTTGTAGCGTCGCTCTGAGGGGAGCGACTCAGACTCAAGTTCAGTGTCACAATGATGGACGAAGGTTTCATATGTACATCTGTTCTGTAAAGGTCATCCAGTGATTTTTGCTGTCAGCCTGCTGTTTTTGATGATCCTGGTCACCATTTTACAGACCGTTTTACAACTCAGATTGTAAATGAATAAGTTCGACAACATCATAACAAACTAGTTTAGAAACTGGATGAGTAACAATAAGTGCGTAGTTTGGATGGTAACCATGAGTAAGGTACAAGTGCGTACCATACCAGTCTTTTTTTATATGTGTGCGGTCGGAGCCAAGTTTTCCCAGTTAGTGCCGCACCTCAGTGTCCATTAATATACCTACTTTCATTGTCTCTCATGTCAGCTTTTCGCTCCCATTTCAACCGTCTTACTAACTAATTCACCCACTTAATGTTTCTTGCTAGGCTGTCTGCTAGTCTCCAGTCTCTCTATCTGTCCATGTATCTCTCTCCATCAGTTGTCTTGTGTTTTCCCTCTCTCATCATTTCGCCTGTCTATCTGTCTGTCTGTCTCTCTGGCCTGGTTTGAATCAGCCCAGCAGAATCTCTCTTTGGGGGCTCAGTAACATGTCTTGATTGGCTCACACAAAATCCAACTGCACTGTGACATCACATGCATCGGAGCCTGCTGATTGGCTGACGCTGGTAGCGGGGGATGGAGAGTGGGATGGGGGGGTTATACGCGGATTGAGGCGGCAGGAGGGCTGATGGGAAAGGGAGAGACTGAGTGACGCTGTTCAGTGCCTACAGGCCCTCTCGCTCTCTCTCTCTTTCTCTCTCTGTTGCTCTCATTTTGAGTTCCTCTCCAGCTCGCTCTCTACCAGGCTTCAGCTCCTCACATGGTGGAAACTCCAACACTCAAACAACCCACTCTTGACTGTCACTTAACCATTTTCTTCCCATATTCGCGCTTTCTTCCTGGAGGCGGCAGGAGGGGGGAAACACAAAGTGATTCCATTCCTGGCAACTTAAGTTCCCGAGCCCGGGAAAAAAGAAAAAAAAAAAGGGAAGACGAGCGAGCTGTGCCCAATATCCCACCTTCACAGTGACTCTAAATGTACGGGGAAAAATGTGGCGTCACCAACCAAAAGAAGGAAAAGTGTCTTACTGCATTCACACCCAACCCCACACCAACACTGAATGTGACCATGTGGCTATGCTTCAGTTTGAAATGGTCATGACGCATTTTGGCTCTCGATTAATGGGTCCCTCAGAGGAGGACGAACGCTGAAAGCCGCAATTAAACGTCAACATTTCTTCTCCGCGGTTTGTCATGAAGACTGGTCCCTTTTTTTTAAACGTCAAACAACTTTTTTTTTTATCAGGTTTCTTTTGAACATTGACAGTTTTATTTACCTTTTTTTTTAATGAAAAATGTTCTCTTTTAGCAGGCACAGTATATCCAGTTACAGTACATACAATCACATTAATGCTTAAACAATGAGGCCATTTGATTACCTTGAGCTTGTGGGAACAGGCACTGTTCACCTTTTTTCACATTTTATAGACTAATCAATGACTCGTATTTGAAGACATCACCTTAAACTCAGGGGAAATGGCGTTTTTTATTCAAGAATTTCAGACACCTCTCTGATTAAACAATCAATCTAAAGATAATGAGGTTAATTGATTATGGAAATAATCGTTAGCTGCAGCCCTAATTTACATATAGAAGAGCAGTACAGTATTGCTCACTGAGTTCCAGTGGGAATTAAGTTCAGGGCTTGTTGATTTCTATCTACCCATTCATTCATCAGTTAATTTTTTGATCTACAAAAGAAAGAAATAGGGGAAAAATGCACTCTGGATAATAATAATTATCATAATTAAAGTGATTTGTTCAGGCCGGAGGTGATGTCTACAAATTGCTTTTTTTTTTTCCAAAAGGAGGATATAAGATGAGGAAAAAGGAGCAATTCCTTAAAATTTTCGAACCTGGGAGCATCAGGTGCTTGGCATTTTTGCTTGAAAATAAATGATTGGCATGGTAGCCAATTAATTTTCTTGTGACAGACTTAAGTCATTAATCAAATTGGATGGCAGTCCAACTCACTTTCTGGTGGAGTCTGGTGAACAGAACTAGTCACAAAACAGTTTCTCTGACCTCTGACCTCCAGCCTGTTGCCTCCCCTGTGTTTCAGAAAAAAAAAAAGTCCAAATATCTTGTTTTCATTTTCTGTCTCAGTGCCGCTCAATTTTAAAGTCTGCCTGTTTGATATTCAGCAGCAGGACGAAGATGTCACAGTGGCAGTGGAGTCTAGTAACAAGCTGTTACAGGGTGAGGAGTAGACAGGCATGATGTGACGATCTCTCCCCGCCTCAAAGTGAAGTTGAGGAGTGAATATGTGTCTGAGGTTGCCAGAAAAAGCTGTCGTAGGAATTACACACTACATGCTTTCTGAACTACTGCTGCTCCTATCGTTAACCCACAAGAGGAAGTGTTGGGTCCTCACGTCTTTATACAGATTATCATTCGGTGGAGTTCAGTGCATACAAAACATTAGTGGTTATTACATTGAATTTACTTTATACTTTACCTTCCTACTGTCAGCTTTTAGCCACTTAAAAAACATATTTTTGCACGATATTCTGAGCTAAAAGTATGTCTTTCCATGCATTTGTGCATACAAGTAAAAAAAAATGAGCGGAAAAAGTCAACTGGACTCGATAGGTTTGAGGTAATTCAAAAAGAACAAAAACTTCTCGAGTCTAGAGCTGAAACAATTAGTCGATTAATCAATCAGTCTGTGAGCAGAAAATGAACCATATTAATAATCTTTTAATCGGTTTTTAAGGATAATGCTAACCGTTCTCTGTGTCCAGCTTCTCTTAAGTGGCTGTTTGTTGTTTTTCTCTGTTTTATCTCATTATAAACTGAATATCTGATCGAGATTGATACCAGAATTTTTTCCATTCGAGAAGCTGTAAACGGGGAATATTTGGGAGTTTTGCTTCACAACTTCACAACTATCAAAATAGCGACCAGTTCATTAATCGGTTGATTTTATATTTGTATTATTTAAGTATGTTACAATGTCTGTATTCTGGAGCTATCTATGCCAGGAAGACGAGCAGCAAAGTGTTCCAAAATACAATATACAATACGGATAGTTGTTTTAACAGTGTTCAAGTGTTTGTAGGTGGATTTTTCTTGGCAGTCATAGAAATACAAGATAGATTTGGATGTTGGTGCAGATCCTGGGTGTGCGAGCACGATGAGTACGTGCCTAAACCAGTTAGTGTGAGGACACAGGAAGGTGCAGGACATAAAAAGCAGGAGTCTGCGCGTATCACGGTACGCTCGCGGAGTTTTCCGGGTGATCTCTGGCCTAGTCGGTCAAGAAGACGGAGGGCCTAGGGGGAGTGTGGGGGATGGGAGGGGGGAGGTTCAGGGTGAAGGGAGGATAGCTCCACCTCCAGGCAACCTTCCAAGTGTGGGGTATAATCTGACAGCACTCAGCCAAGACACATGCAGGGCTAAGACCAGGCACCCTACCAAGACTGGGGCCTGTGGGGACATCCTGGTGAGAGCTAAGCCTCCAATGGGCCTGGAGCAGTGCCAGAAACCCCACACACACATACTAACACACACAAACACACACACACGTACGTTTGAATGCATCGTAAAGTCACACATGCGTGGTAAAGCTTGTGCAGTGTCTCATACACACCCACACAAACGCAGACGCACCGTGCATTCAAACAGCAAAACACATGGGTGGGTGGCGACGGGGATTGGGGGGGGGATGAATGGGGGCAATAAGACAAAGACAGCATGAGGAAATACAAGACTTCAGTCTGAATGGAGGGTTTGGAGAGCCAGGTTTGTTATGTGTGCAAGTCTATCGGTGCGTCAACGTCTCATTCAGTCAGACCTCCCAACTAAAAGCTGGATCTCCTGTGTATGAAATTAACCTAATCGAGTTAAACCAACATTTGGTTGATGTCTGTGTTGCACTTTCCTGTGAACTAATTATGCTGTCATAGCGCGGTCCAACTGGGAATCATCCTGAACGTTTGGATGACCTCACAATGCTGACTGACATTTCTCTTTGCTCTCTTCCCATTCTCCCCTTTCCCTCTTTCTCTTCCTCCTTGCTGTTCCTCTGCAGATTATGTTTATTTTGAGAACTCATCCAGTAACCCACTGCTGATCAGGAGGATAGAGGAGTTGAACAAGGTGAGTGTGAGTGTGAGTGTGCGTGTGTGTGTGTGATTGTGTGCGTGTGTGTGTAAGGTTGAATTTGTACCCTTGAATGCAGCACAGATCAGACAGCTGTACATCTGATTTCATGCCGCCGTCACAACCCTACAAACCTATTCTTTTCCAGTTTGACAGATTGAACAGATCAGTTTTTATTAGTGGCCATATATCTTAACTGCCTTATGTGGTCTCCACTGCACCTGTAAAGCATAAGAACACCTACATTTGGTTGTTAATAAAGTTTTTGTAGAATACCTTTTTAAGTGTAAAAGACGTTATAGCCCCCTTTTGGGTTCTCGTAACTCTTAAGGCTGCTTTATACTATACAACCTGGACTGTTCAATACTGTATAATACTCTTCTATATTGATGCCCAGGATCATTTGTCAGTTTACAAGTTACTTTAATGAAAGAATTTCATCAGATTCCAAATTTAGTCCAGTATAGGCCTGAAATGATTCATTGATTTGTTGATCGGCAGAATCATCGGCAACTACGTTGATAAACATTTAAATATTTTAATTAATTTTTCAAATAAAAGCACCAAATGTTCCCATGTTCCAGCTTCTGAAATGTGAGGATTTGCAGACTTCCTTTGTCGTATATGACAATCAGTGGATTTAGGCTGTTGGTCTATTTTCTGACATTTTATAGGCCAAATGATTAATTGATTAATGAAGACAGTAATCAGCAGATAAATCGATAATGACAATAATCGTTAGTGGCAGCATTACAGATTTTTAACTTAGCCCAATTTTTATTTTACTAGTTCATGTTTTAAATTGTAAATCAAGCATTAATGATTGTTGATATGTTTAAAAAAGACATAAGAATCTACCTTTACACTGATCTTTGCACTGAAAGCAGTAAACAGTATTGTGTTAAGTATGATGATAGTGTTGCTGGATGATGTCTGGTAAATCCCAGCCTGCCAATCTTGTACCTTGTTCAGGAAAAGAAGCAGAAAAAGAGGGCTGTCTCTGTAGACTAGTTACAGGTGCCCGTTGTCTGTCCCCTGTCCCAGACCTGTGCTGGATAATATGGAGGCTGTTTAATGTGATTGACACAGAGCTCAGAGTGAGCCTTCTATTCTGCCTGTCACTGTCAGTCTCTCTGCTCCTCAGGGGATCTCTGGGTTTCTCCTCCATAAGGTTGCAGATAGACATCTATAAAGTATGGAACAGCATAGGGAAAAATCTTGACAACCCACAGCAGCTCAAAACTATTGAAAAACACAGAAAATTAAGAATTTGGTTGAACTAACTGACCTGAAAGCGTTTGTCCATAATGCCAGTAGTCTTAAGTGTACAACAGTGTTGTGTCCAGATCAATGTCACAAACTTAAGAATAAAAAAAAAAACCTAAACATGCACAAATTATTTTATTTAAAGGTTAAAGGATCTTAGGCTGCAACTAATGATTATTTCATTGTCAATTACCCTTGATTATTTCTTGATTACTCTTTCGGTGTGGAAGAAAATAGTAAAAAAATGCACTGCACAATTACCCAAAGCGCAATGAGATAATGAGATTGCTGGTTTTGTCGGACACTTCAAAACTAAAGATATTACGGTTTTATTATCGTTTGAGACGAAGAAAAGCAGAAAATCAATTAATTACTGTTTAATTGACTATGCGTTATTCTTTTAGAGCTCATATAAATGAAGTGTGACACTAACAAAAACATAAAAATCAGCCAGGGAAATTCTTGTAGAAAATGTATCAACTTTCAGGATGTTTGAACTAAACTGTGACGTGTCCCTGTGATCACACAACATATGTCTTTTTTTGTCATCTCCCTTCTTATATCTGTTTTGTTCTGTTATGTTCTGCTTTAATTGGGTTGCAGTTTTAACTGGCATGCACACATAAATATTTATGAATTTAAAACAGATATACTGAAAGGAATTATACTCTTAATTCTCCTTTTACTTTGTCAGTTTGATTTGTGGTTTTACTGATATGTCACACAAAAAGGCGTGATTATTAACTTACTTAAAATGTAATCGAAGCAGCCTAAGTAGTGCATGTTTAAATTGTACCTTGATGCATCATGATCTTAGATAGACCTTTTCTTTGTTTACACTCACACTCATGCCATAATACTGACTGGTCAGTTCCTTTCCTATTATTCTCCCTCATGATTTGCTTCACTTGGCCTGTAGTTAGATTTACAGTTTTAAATTGTATGCAAGGAAATGCTTAAGAGAATATTACTTAATTGTACATCTCTAGATTAACTGCCTGTACTTACCTAATAAATGTGTCGGCCAACAAAAGATCAAAAGTTGTGAACACAGTCAGCGTTTCATTTAAAACTTCCTTTATTAGTAGAGAAAAAAAGTGTTTTACTTTGCAATCAGATGAGGAAATTATGTTTTTTATTGTTACTGTAGTGTTTGTCAAACACAGAAATGTGGGAAATTGGATTTTAATTATTTCACGATTGGAGAAGTAGAAAGTTCTGCGGTGCTTAGTGTCTATACAATGTAAAGAAATATGACATGTTGACTGCTTATTCTCCATCTCTCCATCCATTTTCCCCTCACATTACACCTCGCTTGGAGGAGTCATGAGAGAGTTCCTAATCCAATATGCTTGGCCTATAATAACATACAAATGTGATTGCCAAAGATATGTAACACTTTCACCGTATCACAGCTCATCAATATTGCAGTTTATACTACTATATTATTCCATTTTCTTTTATGTGTAGAGCGTAAAAAAAAAGAAGTAAAAAGCTACTAATCAATTTCTAAATTGGCCCTAGACCTCAAGTGGTAGTTTTCTTTTTTCTTTTTTCAGGTGGCATTCAATAAAACACTGTCATGCAGCTCCTTAATTTAAAAACAGGGTAACATCACCATGCTGGTGTAGTTTTACCAGGAAGAAATTAATACTAGGGCTGCACAGGCAACCCCCAAATACGCCAAACTGTCCTGAAAACTGCAACACTTAATGTGATTTTTGGAGAATTGATGTAGTCTCACACTGCGTTTTCAGCCATCGTTAAGAACTAGCCTCATCTATGGGTCTTTCATCTGTGTGTGTGTGTGTGTGTGTGTGTGTGTGTGTGTGTTTGTGCACGTGCGCGTGTATGTGCGGGGTGCTCTGTGTGCGGCACCACTTGTTGCCGTGGTAACGCCGATTGTCTCTGGTTTGCAGACAGCCAATGGGAACGTGGAGGCCAAAGTGGTGTGTTTTTACCGGCGCAGGGACATCTCCAGCACACTCATCGCCCTGGCAGACAAACATGCAAGTGAGTGACTGACCGTAACCCAGCCAGCAAACACCAGGCATCAAAAAGCACCACAACCGGGATTTAAAACTGTTCTTTTTGGCAACCCTCTGCAGTTGTTTTTCCACTGCAAAGTTGTAGTGCCTTCGCATCCAGTCAAACTAAATTTCCCTGAAATGGAAAATACTACTCTATTTGTTATTTGGCTTGATTTTTAAGGCTCGTTTGCGCACCAGATTTTTATCAAGGGATGATACAAAATTTAATTCAGTTTGTGCACTGTTGCCAAGCTGAGAGAAGTGGTCCAGACTGCAGCCCCTCCTCTGATAGGCCTGATTGCGGACAGCATTCGATCTGTTGGGTGTATCAATATGACGACACCTGTGTGTAGGGGGGGTGTGTTCATGTGCGTGTGTGTGCCTTCCCAGTTTAAGCGTGGGTGTGTAGCGTGTACTTGAATGTGGTGTTGTTCTACAGAGCTTGGAGCATATTCTGCAGTATCTGGAACAGCTGGCAGACTTTGAATGGGCTCTAGCTAAAGCCGTATTCCGTGGCCTTTTTTAATGTTCTGGATACCAGCGTGTTTTTCATAGAGAAGGATATTCAAACAATGAATTCAAATATGATGCTTGGAAGAAAAGAAAGGGGAAATATAGAAGGACTGAGACGGTCAGTTTAAGATGGTTAGTGGTAAGAAATTCGGATGTAAGAAAAGTGAGCCGCTTAAAGGCCAGAGCTCACCTCCCCGCCGGTCCTGGTTGCCTGAATTCAAAGAATAAAAAAGCAGAGGGATACAGGATTTATCACCACTTCAGGCTATTTGCTTTTTTTGATGTTTTTCATGACATGATATCACCTCTTTTGACGCTGTAAAAAAATGTCTATTTCACTGACTTCTCTGTTCTTATCATCTTATATTTATACTCTAACGTGTTACAGTTTGTTAGTTGCCTAGATTGTAAACTCTGTCTGCAAGCCAACCTTTCCTTAGAGGAGGATATAGATTTTAAATAAATGTATTTGAATTGCATTTATAGAAAATAAGAATGACTATCATTTGGAAGAAGACCTGACTATGGGCAACTGATAGTTACCCATCTTCAGTGTAATCTTAGTGGGAAAATACTACCACCCACTACCCACATGCTGGCAGATTTTGTTGCAGTCATTAGTCATCTTTACCAGCCACATTATAAATGTCTTTTTAATTATCTTGAAATGCAAAAAGGAAGAGTAGAACAAAGATGGCAACATCAACAAATGAATTCTTTCAGAGTCTCTTGTGATGCTCCATGATTTCCGCCCTTTGACAAAAACTCACATGGGACTAAAAAAAAAAGAGGATTTTTTTTTTAATATATAGTATTTATTTTATAGTCTTTATTTGTGGATTTGGGCATAGGCCTCATAGAAGAAGGCTAGACATGATGCATCATATAGCATATATCGTAACAACACTGACTTTGGGACAGTCTTTCATCTTTATGATGTTGCACTCAGTTGTACACACACAAAGGGAGAGGAAAGCTGTGTAGAAAATGTTGGAAAAGAAGTTTAAACCCTTCATTACTTTCTTATTCACACCCGACCTATATCTCTGTGAAGTGGGAATGCTTGTCTGGACTGTCTGTTTTGGAAAGTTTCAAAGATTGTCGGACGCAGCCTTCCTCAATTTTGATGGTGATGAAGATGTATGGGTAGGAGATTTCAGACGCTGTTTGATAATCACTCACATTTCATTTGAAGTACGCTGAGCCGCACTGATATGATTCTGTGATTTCTACTTCGTTACACAGTGAAATAGATCAGAGGTGTAAGATTTAAAAAAAAAAAGAAGAAGCCAGGGCTGTGGTGTAAAATCATTAATATGGGAACACAGTGAAGCTGAGAAGACTCTTAAATATGGTAGGATAGTGTCCATTGCAAAACTGGACTGAGATTTCAGTTTGTGGTCAAAGTATGTAGGCTTAAAATATACTGTTGTTGGTGTCCAGTGCTGTCTGGCCTCCTGTTTGTGCATCAAGTAGACCCACTCTGACTCCGACATTTAGGAGGATCCATTGGCAGAAATGGAAGATGTTATTTATAGGTTTGTTTGAATTAGTGTATGATCCCCTGAAATTAAGGATTGTTATGTTTTTGTTACCTTAGAATGAGCCTTTTATATCTACAGAGGGAGCAGGTCCTCTTCTATGGAGGCCGCCATGTTGAACCACAACTTTTCTACAGTTTTGCACGTTTTGCGACCACCGTAGTTTCTTCCGCACACTTGGAAGGCGAGCGGTATTCTGTTGGTTGAAATCAGCAACTTCCTCCCAAGATGCCACTAAATTTAAAACACTGGTCCTTTTTAAAATAAACGTTAAACACACACACAAACTTAAAGGCGTAAAAGTTTGAGTTAACTCACTCCACCATTCATACTAGAAGTGCTGTCATACTAACAGTAGAAACACTGCCATCCTGTAGTCAAGGCTAGAAAAAAAAAAAAAAACAACCACTAGACTTTGACTGGGTGTGGCAGGCTTAATGTTGGCTCTTGGGGTGTGAAAGTGTGTGTATATATATGTGTGTGTGTGTGTGTGTGTGTGTGTGTGTGTGTGTGTGTGTGTGTGTGCGTGTGCGAGAGAGAGCTACCAAGTGTCCTGTTTGACTGAGTGCACATGTGTTTGTGTGTGAGGTCTAGGGGTGTATCCGTGGCAGGAGGGGATTGTTTGTTCTGTCGGACCACACAGCACCAGTTTGTCAGTGTGTGTCCATTTTAACAAAGTCTGTGATTATTTCAGAGCAGCGTTTGTGTGCGTTCAGACATTCGCTGCTTCTTTCCCACACAGTACTTTATTCTGCCGAAGATGTGCACTTCGCGTGTGTCTGCTAATGGAATGATGTTCTCAACCAGAATATAGAAAGAAAACAGATATTTGTGTATTTTGTTATGGTTTTGGTGTATTTATTTATTTTTTCTTGTTGCATGCTGAGCGTTAAGTAAACATTAATATTTAACTTATAATCAAGGTTTTTAACCACCGACCATGTTTTGTCGGTTAAACACAAGCAGATACAACAAACCCAGCATCATATGATTGTATTGGCACGCTGATGGACGAAGTAGGGCATTGTTTTTGGAGTGGAATAATGTTTGTATGGGCTGTTCCTATATAGGCCTCTTGGTTTTGGCTGTGCTCTGCCAGCTACAGTTTGGGTAAAGGGCTTCCAGACTTTTGCAATATGTAAAAAATGCATGGCAGGAATGGCTGTGCACCACATGGGTGTGGGCTGTATCCTGTCTGCGTTTCTCTAGCTGCGGCCTCAGTGCATGTGCCTTTCTCTCTTATGTGTGTGTGTGTGTATGTATGCTTGTGGGGGTTCACAGGTTCTTATATATGCATGATGGACTTGAGTTTTTAGAGCTCTGGGCCTTGTCACTGGAATTACTGAAGGGGTGCATTTAATTCAGTTTTGCTATGGACCAGTGGAGAATTGTGTGTCTGTGCGTGTGCGTGTGCGTGTGCGCCTGTGTGTCTTTTAATGTGTGTCTGCTGTGAGTCATTGATCAAATATTTTGCTTGCAGAGATCCTGAGAAACTCCCTGAATGGGGCCTCCAACTCCGGCATTAGCCCCTCCCATGTGAGTGAAGGGGCCTCCTGAGTGGTCAGCTTCTGTGGCAGACTTGGCATTTTACCTCCGTGGCCCCTCCCGTCAGACATTTGAATTTGCCATGACTCAAACTTTTTCTATTTTTGAGATGTGGCTCCTAGCTCCCATAAACAATAGACAACAATGTTTCCAGTGAACTGATGCTCATGTGTAGAACCAGTGCGTATGAAGTCAAGCTGGTCCTGAGCTAAGTACAATATATAATAGCCACTAGTTTCTTTTTGCCTGGGCTCCAGAGTGGGTCATAAACCTGTCACATCTCTTTTTTTTTGGGGGGGGGGATGCTTTTATTACGATTCTATAAGTGAATTCATTTGCAGGATGGTCGTCTGCCAGTAGTAGGGCCATGTGGCACCACTTGAGCTTCACAATCACACATATTTGACGAGAGCGATGATATGTTATAATGCGACTAGGTCCTACAGTGAGAGGAGGACTTTCTCATTTGCATCCCTGCCTGCAGAGCTTTATGAACTGCGGCCTTATCAGCTTTAATGATTACAACACAAAGTGAAGGCAGCAGCCCCTCGCCTCGTGTCAACATAGCCGTTGTTCCTGTTATGGAGCACGCAGAGATTGTTGTTGGCAAACAGTAAGCAGCTTATTAATCTTATTTGTTTTAATATTATGAAGATGTAATTACTTGTACTGTTTGTCAGGGAGGAAAAGGGTAAATTATACTTTTTGTGCTCTGCATTTGTTGTTTGCAAACAAAAAGAAATTAAGCTTAACCACTCTGATTTGCAAAAATACAGTTATTGGGGAGGTGTTTGCCTTTCTGCTGCGAATTTAAACTTTAAATTAACTGTTTTTGAAGACGTTTAAATGCACTAAAGTAACAAGGTTAGTGGGCGAAAGTCAGGAAATCAGAACACGTTTACATGAACTGCAACTGTTACACCCCTATTTAATTACAGTTGGCCGCTAATCAGATTCTTCAGTCACCCTCAACCACCACATCGTTGAACCAAGGTTTCCACTGGCATATATTAAGCATATTAGCCATATGCAGTCTAACAAACTCTGTCCTGCTCTTTGTCATTCACATGCACTCTTGTAAAACCCCTCTTTGAAACTAGGTTGCAAGTTAAGCATGTACACGGCCGAACTCCTAATCCTTCACCTAATTACAGACTTTTTGTTCCTTGTTTACATAACATTGAAGAAATTTGACTCTGGTTACACTGGGAATCCCTGTGATTTTTTTTACACGGCAAACTCAGTTTACACACGCCATGAGAAGAACTAGTCAGCTTGTGAAAAAACAGCTGTGTAATGTCGTATGTTTCTCTGGAGGAAGCTTTGTTATGTCTGGGAAAATATCCTTTTGTGATGTCAACAAAGTAATTCCGTGTGGGATCGG